ACGAACCCGTGTCCCCCGCATCGGCAGGCGGACTCTCAACCACTGCGCCACCAGGGAAGCCCGCAGTTCTGCTCTTCATTGCTTACCAGACTTAGATTGCTCTGGGCTGTTCTGGCAGGAGGAGGAGGAGAAGCCCACTGAGCAGACCTCTCTCAGCACCTTCAGGGAGGTATCGGGTTGACTGCCTGCTTCCTTTCACGTCCCCCATGGAAATCCTGGTGGTGAACTAGCTCAGCAAACCCCCATTAAACTGAAAAGTGCTGCTCTCCTGAGGTATTTTCCCCTGTGCAATTGGCAAAAACTTAAAAGACATTCCATGGGCAGGGCTATGGAAGAGCAGCCTTCTCCTATGTTGCTGGCAGGAGGAGAAAATGGTGCCGCCCCGCCGGAGGAGAATTTGGCATTATCTGATGAAAGTACACGTCTGTGTGCCCTTTGGCCCAGCAATCCCACTTCTGGGAACCTACCACAGAGACACACCTCTATGAATAAGAAACACAGGTACAAGGTTATTTGCTGTGGCAGTATTCGTAACAGCAAAACATGGGAATGTCAATCCATAGGAGACTGGTTGACTACATTATGGTCTATCCATGAAATAGGGTCGTTTGGGGCCGTAAAAAAAAAAAAAAAATGAGGAAGATCTGTATGAACTGACAAGGAGGGATTTCTAGGATTTACCGTTTAGAGAAGAAACAAGTATATGTAGTAGCAGAGTGTGCTACTTCCATTTTACGTAAGAAACGAGGGAAGGTTAAAAAATTGTATATGTGTATTTACTTATTGTTGCAGAAAGAAAAATTAGCAGGACAAACCAGAGACTAATGAAAATGGTTAAATGCAAGGTGTAGGGAGAGAAGAATAAGAATAGGGCTTCTCTGCAAGCAACTTTTTATCTGGTTATGACTCCTGGAACATGTGGATGCTTTATATTTTCAAAATTGCATACTTTAAAAAAAAAAGGATTTCTAAAAAAATTAAATCCCTAAAATTGAATATAAATAGAAACAAATAAGCTGTATATCAGACTGACAACCATACAGAGAGTAACTTTTCAACATGTGCTCTGGTCATACATTTTTTTAACAGCTCTATTGAATTACATACCGTAAGGCTCATCCATATTTTAAAGTGTATATTTTAGTAGTTTCTAGCATGTTTATAGATTTGTACATCATCACCATAATCTAATTTCAGAAAATTCTCATCATCCCTAAAAGGAGCCCTGTACCCATTTATAGTCACTCCCTGTACCCCTTACACCCCAGCCCCCATCCCTAGGCAACCACTAATCTACTTTCTGTCTTCTGATCATATGTCTTTAGTGGGATACATTCTGAGGGCCTAAAAAACAAAAAAAGCCCTGTGAATAAACATTAATTTTTATGTAGTACGTTTATTGCTAGTGGTGATATTGCTGTTAAAAATCTGAAACTAGGGCTTCCCTGGTGGCGCAGTGGTTGAGGGTCTGCCTGCCGATGCAGGGGACACGGGTTCGTGCCCTGCTCCGGAAGGATCCCACATGCCGCAGAGCGGCTGGGCCCGTGAGCCATGGCTGCTGAGCCTGCGCGTCCAGAACCTGTGCTCCGCAACGGGAGAGGCCACAACAGTGAGAGGCCCGCGTACCGCAAAACAAAAACAAAAACAAAAACAAAAACAAAAAAACTTGAAACTATTTTATGTATATTGCAGGATAAGGCAGATACATTAAAATATCAATTATAAATATTATTCAGAACAAGATTTTCACTGTAAGAGAAATGAAATTAAAATACAAAATAAATGAAGGTAAAGAAAACGTATCTTAAACATGAACTAGAAATATCAGTGTGAACTTGTGAAAAAAACAAATATATTCTAGCTCTATGTACTGAAAGAGCCTAGATGTTCTTTATGACACTCCTGTAGCAATGAGCACACCTAGAACCTAGATCTTGGTTTCTGAATATCATGCCCTACAAAAAGCAAACAAAGCTCCTTAGAGAAGTTTTTTATTCCAGGTCTAGGTCAAGGAAAGTACCAGGTGATTCAGGGACATCTTTTATGGCAGAAAGCAATTAAGTGCTCAATAGAGGTCGCATCAAAGGACATAAGAAAGGACTCCCCCTGGCCAAATGTGGGGACAATCTGAGCATCCCAATGAATAGTGATGTAGTGGGTTATAACACTTTAATGAAAAATTATAAAAACAAGCCCATAAAATGGTTTTTAAAAATAGGAGGGTGGAGGGAACATGGAGAAAGCTCTTCTTTAGGGAAGAATGCCACCTAATAATTGTAGATGGAATGACAGAATCAGAAAATCACCATTTTGTTAGAACCGCGGGGTAATAATTGATTTGGGCAAAAGTTATCACTGGATGCTCAAAGCACTGGGTAAAATATGTTAAGCATGATGACATGCACATAGATCACTTATTGTTTACAAAAATATTTTATATTTTACACTTTTTATTACAAAGGAGAAAATATACCTTTACAGTGTAGAGATCCAGAGGCCACCACCTTAACCCAGTGATCAAGCATTGCCCACATAGTATTCTTGTCCACAATATTTAACCTGACTCTAATCATGAGGAAGCAATCAGACAAATCCTGAATGTGAGGCATTCTACAAGGCAGTTGGCCTGGACTCTTCAATAAAAGTCAATATTATGAAAAACAAACTAACAATAAAAAATGTTGGGGTCTATTTTGCATTCAAAAGACTAATGAAGCATAACAACTGAATGAATTGTGTGAACACTGATTAGATCTTAGCTTTTGAAAAATTCTATGAAAGACATGGGACAATGGGGAATGTTTGAGTAAAGTCTGTAACATGGTGTTTTGGAACTCTTGTTAATTTTCTTAGGTGTAATACACGGTTACGTAGGGGAACACCCTTATGCTTAGAAAGAATGTGTTGAAGTATTTAGCAGTGATGTGTTGTAACGTCTACAAAACACTCTCAAATAATTGAGCAGTACTAAATATAAGTAGAGAAAGGGAGGGGGAGCAAATATGGCAAGATGAGTGTAAGTGTAGGGTGACGGATGTTCATTATTTTAATTCTACAGCGTTCTTACAGATTGGAGCAGTTTCAGAATCCGCTGCAGGGAGCACCCTAAGCATGTTGTGTGGTGGAGGCTGTCACATCTGTCCTCCAGTTCAGGCTGGGCCAGGTCACCTCTTCCGCCATCTGCACACACCCTGCCCCCTAACCGAGCTGAATCGTCATCTCCTGTTTCCCCTTAGGTGAAGACCCTCTTGTGGATGATCAAAATGAACGAGATATCAATTCAGTCGCTGGCGTTCTAAAACTGTATTTCCGAGGACTGGAAAACCCACTCTTTCCTAAGGAAAGGTTTCAAGATTTGATATCTACTATTAGTAAGTATTTCCCAGGTGGAATGATCAATTTCTTGACCAATCTTTATTGAAGCTGCACTCCAGGCTCATTGCTGCAGGGGAGGGGTGCCTTGAAAGAAGCCATATGACTCTTGTCCTCATGGAACTTAAAACCTAGTTGTGGAAATAACAAGATGGTTTATAATAGAAGGACTCATGGGCATGGTACAGCTCTGGGTATAGGAGGAGCTCAGAAGAGAAGAGGCAGAGGGAGCCTTGGTTTCTCGGATCACAGCTGAGGGAGGATGATGTGAGTAGAGTCTTCGGGGAGGAGTGGACTCAGGGATCCTAGGAAGGGTTGGGGACACACAGATCAGTGGGACCAGCAGGAGGGTGTCCCAGCCAGTACATGGTGTAAGGTGCTGGAAGGGTCCGATGGAGCAAGAAAGGGAAGACCTTGAATGCCTTGCAAGGATTCCAGAGCTTTTCCTCTTGGGTTACAGGGAGCCATGGAAGGTTTGGGAGTCAGGTCAGCAATATGGCAAACAGGGAAATGATGAAAATAAGTTGATTGGGGGCTTTCTCTGACATCACTAGCCATGAGAGTCCTTCTTGACTAGTATTTCTGTGGATAAAGGCAGGAGCCCAATCTAGGGGCTGAAGTAAAGGCACCTTGACTGTAAGATGCCAAAATCCATGGCAATCTTTTGGGAGTATTTTTTAAAATAAACTTCTAATTTTAGAATATTAGAATGTTAGTATTTTGGAATAAACTCTTTTTTTCTTTTAATAAACTCTTTGAGTTACAGAAAAGTTGCCCCACACCCCGTTTCACCAGGGATGCTTCTCACAATGTTCTGAGGGATATTTGCAGCCAGGGAAGTGCCCCAGGAGGTGACAAGAGCCTAGGGAGGCTTGAACCCTCTTATTTGTCTTGTGTGAAAGGCTCTTGCTCCACTCTTCTGCCCCCCACTACTTCCTGCTCATCTTTCCTGATCCACTTCAGGCTCCAGACCACCTCTCAGAAATCCCAGGCCACAGAGGCCCGTCCCTGTCTGAGCCCTGTGTCACCTGCTCAGCCAGTATTTCCAGAAGCTCCAATAGCCCAGTTCCTGAGCGGACAAGGCGTTTGGCCCCTGGTACAAGGTCATAGCATTGTGTACCTTGAATGACAATGTGAGAGGAAAAGTCCCTCCTCAGTTCCCTCCCAAAGCCTTGGTTACCTCAAGGAGTGACACCCCCTCTGTCCCCAACGTACAAGTCAATCTCCCTGCTAAACAGAGAGAGCAGGGCCTCAGTCTCAGAAACTTTTGTATAAAACAATGTCTACCTATAATTTGGTAGCATTGTTTTCTTTCATTGTATCTCTTTTTGTTACCTTCTAATTATGGCAAGTGATCCTGGTTTCTCCTTTACAGAGTGAGGTAAGGTCTCCTTTGTGTGTGTGTGTGTGTGTGTGTGTGTGTGTGTGTGTGTGTGTGTGTGTGTGTGTGTGTGTGTGTGTGTTACGCGGGCCTCTCACTGTTGTGGCCTCTCCCGTTGCGGAGCACAGGCTCCGGACGCGCAGGCTCGGAGGCCATGGCTCACGGGCCCAGCCGCTCCGCGGCATGTGGGATATTCCCGGACCGGGGCACGAACCCGTGTCCCCTGCATCGGCAGGCGGACTCTCAACCACTGCGCCACCAGGGAAGCCCAAGGTCTCCTTTTTTAAAGAAATGTATTTAAGAAAACAGTATTAATAAACAGTAGTGGAGGTGGTCTAGGGCAGTGTGACTGAAGCGGAGGACATGGAGGGGCCTGTATGGGGGGCAGTGGACTCGATATGTGTGCCAGAGCCTTCCACTCTGTGTGGAGGCCTTGGTGAGGTGCCAGACCTTGAAGGTAGGCTGGAGCATGCCAGGTGAAGAAGAGAGATCACCAGTGTGTGCAAAGGCCTGGAGCAGGAGAGCCTTTGTGTGTTTGGGTGGAGGGGTGGGGGGGGGTGGCTAAGGTGGCCTGGCACAGTTCTTCTGTGGGGCACTACTGGCACTTTGGGTAGAGCAGTGCCTTGTGTGTCCCACACATTCAGGACCCTTAGCACCTTGGCCCCTAGAAGCCAAATGCCAGTGGCACCCTCCAGTCACTGCAACAACCCCAGAGAATGTCCCACATATTTGTAAGTGTCCCAGAGGTGCATGCCCACTTCATCTGAGAAGCATGGCTTTCAATCATCTTCAGATACTTGGAGAAGGGGCGGCAGCTGGGAGATGAAGCAGGCAAGGGTGGTTGAAGCTGCATCATGAAGGGCCTTGGATACAGAGGAGAAAGGGGGAAGCTGTGTTTTAAAAGGAACATGCTGACGGGATGTGGAGGCTGGAGAGAGGAGGGACTGAGGGACATGTTTTTCTCTGAAAAAGAAACTGACATGGGTTTATGCATCAGCCCTGCAGATAATCACTGGAGCTTTGGTAGCTCACTCTTAGCCTGAGCTTTCTCTCTCTACAGAGAAAAGCCCACAAAGCACTTTTTTCTCCTTACCAAGCCCAATTTGCTGCCCCCAACCCTGGCCTGACTGATTAAATGTCTGTATCTCTAGAGTTGACCTGAAAACGGGGGTCAGAGACAAGAGCCCAAGAATCACCAGGCTCTTTGACCAATATACAGCTCAGGAGGTGGTTATTTATTCAGTGTTCATTTCTTGAGCACCTACTCTGTGCCAGGCCTGTGCTGCAGCCGATGTTTTTAAAGAGTCTAATAAAACCTGGTCCCTGCCTGTGTTCATCAGGACTCATAGGCTACAGGTGACAGAAACTCAGCTGACACTGACTTACCCTGTAAAAGGGAATGTATTGGCTCATATATCTGAAAAGTTAAGGCCCAGCTGGACTCAGACCTCACACGACATCTTCAGGAATCTGTCGCCTCCAGCTCTGTGGTGACTGCACTCCCGGACACCATCTTCTTTCCTGGGAGCCCCCAGCTGCTCCTCTACCCAGTTTCAAGAGGGAACTTCTCTCTAGGTTTCTCCAGCTGAGTCCCAAGGATCAACCCTGATTTGTTCTGATTAGGCCATGGACCCCTTCCTGGGCCCAGCCCTGTGGCTAGGGGAATTTGATGCTCTGATTGGCCAGGCCAGGGTCAAATTTCCATCCCTGGAACTGAGAGTAAAACTGCCTCCCCCTGGGCTTCCCTGGTGGTGCAGTGGTTAAGAATCTGCCTGCCAATGCAGGGGACACGGTTTGATCCCTGGTCTGGGAAGATCCCGCATGCTGCGGAGCAACTAAGCCCATGCACCACAACTACTGAGCCCATGCGCCACAACTACTGAAGCCTGCGTGCCTAGAGCCCGTGCTCCGCAACAAGAGAAGCCACCACAATGAGAAGCCCGCACACCACAACCAAGAGTAGCCCCCACTTGCCACAACTAGAGAAAGCCCATGTGCAGCAACGAAGACCCAACACAGCCAAACATTAATTAATTAATTAAAACAAAACAAAAAACCTGCCTCCCCCTGAACCACGTGGGGTGATCTCACAGGTGGGACTCACAGATGTCAGCTACTTGGCTCTCTGATGATGAAAGGCGCCCTGAAAAGTCCCTTTATGTTACAGAACTAGAGAACCCAGCTGAGAGGGTGCACCAGATCCAACAAATCCTCATCACCCTTCCCCGCGTGGTCATCGTGGTTATGAGATACCTCTTCGCTTTCCTCAACCAGTGAGTTGCCCAGCCAAGGGGGGAACCCCCTCTTTGACTCAGCCCTGGCCTCCTTTGGGAGGGGGTGTCCTGAGGTTTGTAGGTACTACTGTTCCTAGAACATGGGACCCTCCTGAACGTGAGTAGAGCTCCCAAGAGAAAGAAACCATGGGGGAGGATTCACCTTTCCCTGGTGACTTGTGGGTACTCCTTTCTTGTAGCCTCTCGCAATATAGTGACGAGAACATGATGGATCCCTACAACCTGGCCATCTGCTTCGGGCCCACCCTCATGCACATCCCTGATGGGCAAGACCCTGTGTCCTGCCAGGCACACGTCAACGAAGTCATCAAAACCATCATCATCCACCATGAAGCCATCTTCCCCAGCCCCCGGGAGCTAGAGGGACCTGTGTATGAAAAATGCATGGCTGGAGGGGAAGAATATTGGTAAGATTCCATTCTTCTTAATATTATTATTATCATCGTTGTTGTTGTTACTGTTGAACCAGAACAGTAAGAAACCCTTTGATTTTCTTACTGCTTTTTAGTCTGTACTCCCATATATATTTTCGCATTTGAGCTTCGCACCAGCCTTATACAAGGGATAGGTGCATCAGTCAAGGCTGTCTTGGTTTATAAGGGACAGAAATACAACTCAAACTGGCTTAAGCCAATTGGGAATTTAGTTTTAACTAAATAAAGTCTGGGATCATGGCTTTAGGTATAACTGGATCCAGGGGTTCAACTATTATCATCAGGACTCAGTCCTGCAATTCCCAGCCCCTGGCTGCTTTCTTCTACATTGGCTTCATTCTCAGGCAGCCTCTCCCTTGATAGTTTCAAAGAGGCATCTGGTAATGCCGGTTTAGAGCCTGTTCTCTCGCCATCCCCAGTGGAAAAAGGGCTTCTCCTTCCCAAATGTTTTAACACAAGCCCAAGAATTATGTCTCCTCCTGAGGCTTGGGTCTGGTGAACTAATCACATCGATTAGGCGATGTATGTAGTGCTGTCATTGCCCAGGTGAGCTGCAAGCCCATCTCAGGCAGAAGGGGGGTGGATAATCCCCACCTTAGCCTCTTAAACTGAGAATGACACTTCCCACCCTTGTCCCCTACCATCTAGAGTTCTCTTTTCCTGGCAAAGTTTGTTCACTTTCTTTGAGAGCTCCACACCAGGCCAACAGGTGCTAGTTGGGCACCTCTGTGTACCTGGTGCTACACTGGGTCTTGGGAGAAATATTTTAGAATCTTATCAAACTCAGGGCTGACTACCTTCCCCAGGCTAAGACCTTAAAAATACGGAGAAAATACAACATTTCTGTGAAGACAGAAAATTCAGAATACCAACTGACAAAAACCAAAGGGTTCCTCCTCTTTCTTTCTTCCCAATCCAGGACAATACACAGCTGTATGTTTAGGTATTACCCACACTGCTTTCAGCCAGATGCCTACAGGGGAGTTAGTCTTTTGATTGTCAGAGCGTTCCTGGACTCTTGCCTCGCTTTAGTTCTGTGGGCATATTTGGGCAGCGGCTTCAAAGAAGGGAAACGTTCCATCCTCCTTGTTTCTCTGCAACACTTCTCTGCATAGAAACACTGGGCCACAGCTCTCTAATATCATCTGAGGCACCTGGAGCCAGTCTGTCCCTGATCTGTAACAGAAATCCTACAACCAGCAAGCACACTTTTTAGACAAAGAGAAGCTTTTCAACTTTATCGCTTTTCCAGCCATTACCAGTTTTCTTTTCTTGCTGCAATAGATATAATTAGTGCTCTGGGAAGGCACGTACAGATCTTAGCATACTTAACCAAAGCACTACATACAATAACCACACTTTTCTTAATCCCATTTGTGCCCCATGAGAAAGGAAAACTATTAATTACATGGTAATTTTGGAGGAGTTTTCAAAGCCAAAAAGGAGGATTTGGTTGAGGATATCATCACAGTGGACAACATTCATTCATTCACCAAATGGTTACTGAGCATCTGTCCTGGGCCAGGCCCTGGGCTGAGGGGTAGGGATGTAACCTGAGGAGTAACCCCTGAGACAGGGAGGAGGAAACAGGCAGTTCTAGGAGTAGGGGCCCTGGAGCCAATGTAGGGAGGTCAAGAAAGGCTTCCTGGAGGAAACACGGTGACTTGACTGAGACCTGAAGGATGAACTGGGTCAGCCAGGTGAGAGCGGGCAAAGAATGTGCTAGGCCTGGAGCATACAATAAAATGAAAAGTGTTCTCTATGCCTGCAGTGTTGCCTGTGACGAGAGAATGGTGAGGGAGGAGGCCCCACAGGCCAGCAGGAGCCAGGTTATGAAAGGTCTTAAGCCATTGTGCAGAGTCTGGAACTTATCCAGGAGAATTTTTCATAATAAAGTCCATATTCCTTTAAATGGTATTGTAAATGTCACCTTCAAGAAGCCTTCCTTGACACCCTATGTAGGTCCGCTCTCCTGTTCTTGTCTCTGCTCATTTGTGCCTATATAACACATTTCAACTTGTAGCACTTCTGTTTCTCAGCCCGTGAGGGCAGGGTTTGTGTCCACGTTACCCATCAATGCATCCCTCTTACCTAGCACCTTGCCTGGCATAGATTAAGACTCAATCAATGGTTTGATTAAAAAAAAAAACTGATTGGCTCACTATGTGAATGAACCCTGGCCTTAAGAAGCTTACAATCCAGTGAGGGGGCAGCAGCTGATGAAATTATCCCAGTGCATTAACGACAGAATTTGATGGTCCTGGACTCACTCTACCCCTAAGCCCATCATGGTTGCCAGCCTGCTCGCCACCTGGGCTGTTGTGGATTTTGCACACAGCACCATGAGGCATCCCCGAGGAACCCACTCCTTGGGAGCTTCACCCACCTCGCTGAGCTTGTCACCTCTGCTGCAAGACAGGCAGGGAGCCAGGCCAGATGGATGACTCTCAGTACTTCCAAAGTTCCTTCTGCTCTGGCCTGAGGTCCTTCTGAGGAAAAACGTTGGTGTTTTACTGCCTTCTAGATCTTACAGAATACTTAGGCACTGACGGCCTTTACCAAGAAGACAGCCCAGCAAATTTCAGGGCTGCGGCCAGTTGGGGATGGTATTCAGGGAATCTTCCCAATGGGTGAGGGGGCCGGGAGTGGTTTTCTGTTAGGAAGGTCTGTGGGTGGTCAGATGAAAAAAATGGGATGAAGTGGGCCTGGCCTGATCTGGGTCAAGGCGCAGAGGTGGGCTAGGCCAGCGCCTGCGGGAGGCTGAGGGTAGCGTGAGGTACAAAGCCCCCCAGGAGTCCCATCCCCATGTTTCCTTGCAGCGACAGCCCGCACAGCGAGCCAGGGACCATCGACGAAGTTGACCACGACAATGGCACCGAGCCTCACACCAGTGATGAAGGTGAGTGAGGGGGAATCGGGGTGAGGAACTCACCTGGGGCCTCTCCTGCTGACTTATGCCTGCCCACCTGCTGGGCTGACCCACGTAACCGCCACCCATCCAGCTTTGCAAGTCAGCACGTCATCCTCTGGAGCAGACAGCGATGCAGAAAGACCTCCAGTCCACTGCATCCCCACACAGCTTGCCTCCTCCCCTTCTGTGTCCTGCCTGGCCTGAGTGCAAATCCTAAGTGACGAGAGTTTCCTAAGTAGGAAGCAGGCTTTGTCCTCTGTCCCTCCCCTGTTGGGGGTCTGTTCTGCGCCCGGCCTGAGCTGGGACCTGGGGCACATCAGTGAACCAGACATGGGTCATCAAGGCGCTCCTGGTCTTGTCACCTGACAGGTCGAGAGCAGCTCCCCACCATGCAGAGTGACAATGCCAGGCTACAGGGGTGACCCAGTGCAGTGGGTACCCCGAAGGCGAGGCCAAACGGTGGTGACCCAGGGAAGTGTGAGCAGGTAGAGAGAGAAAGGCCAGCCTGGGCTCTGAGGGACTCCTCAGACCTTCCACCCCTCTAGACAAGGAAATAAAATCAGGTTTGTCTCTAGGGAGCCTGGACAGTATAGGCAAGCAGTCTGGATAATACGGGCCTGGGGCCAGCGTTTCCATTAGGCAGATCAGGCACAGTGCCCAGGGCCCACGAAAACGTTTTAATTTTTTTTTTTAATAATAAGAAAAAAGAGAATATGAGCCTGGATTATATTCATCTCTGTACAATGCAGTTGTAAGATATAATTTTTGACGTTTCTTTTAGTGGAGGAAGGGGCCCGTGCAAGCACAGGTGCCAAGGGCCTGAGAGTCGCAACACCTCCCTATATGTTGACTGAGCACAGCCCTCCTTTCTCCCTGTGATAGTCTTACTTTTAAAAAATCATTATTCAGCACTTCTCTTATTGCCCTTTGTGTTCGTCTTGTGGGACAGTCCCAGGCCCTGTTGGCCACCATTTTTGTCAGGAGAACTGGGTATCTCCTCAGGTGAGGTTTCTGGGAGTTGGCATAAGAGGCAAGACTAATAGGTGGGTTTTCATATTCTAGTGGGACTATTTCAGTTTCCAGCCACAGAACCTCCAACTCAAACTGACTTAAGCCTAAAAGGGATTCAGATCATATACTTAAAAGTCCCAGGGTAGGCATGGCTTCAGGCATAGCTGGATCCAGGAGCTTAGTAGAGCTTGTCAGGAATATGTCTCCACCTTGCCATTCTGCTTCCCTCTGTGTTGGCTTCATCCTCAGGTAGGATCTCCCTGTGTGGTGGTCTCTGGCAACTCCAGGCTTTCCTCATCCTTTTACCCAAAGTCCCAGTGGAAGGGACTGGGGCATTCCTTTTCAGAATCGTTCCAAGAAAGCTGCTGGGATGAAGTCTCACTGCATTGCCTTGCGTCATGCACTCAGGCGAGAACCAGTCACTGTGGCCCGAGAGGGAGCTGATGGGTCGGACCTGGGTCCCAGGGCAGGAAAGCACATCTAGGCACAGTGTTCAGCTCTGCCAGAATCCTCAGAGGCTGAAGTCATCCTGAGCTGAGGAAAGTGTCCTGCAGAGCCTTTGTTTTGAGATAGGAAGGCTGCCACCTTCTGCTTGTTTGCAGTGGTTTGCTTTTCTCTGTCCTTCCTTTCCTCTCTTTTCCTACCACCTTCAGTCCACCCTCTTTCTCTATCAGTTTTAACAGCCCCTCTTCTCATTCTCTCCATCTGTTGCTTGTTTATTCCCGTGTGTGTGTGTGTGTGTGTGTGTGTGTGTGTGTGTGCGCACGCGTGTGTGCATGCTGCTCTTGTTCTAGATCTTGCTCTCAGCCTCTCTTCTTCCACTGGTGGAAAACACCTCTTGTCCAACAAGTTAGACTGATTTTTCAGCATTGAGACCTGTGGGGGCTGCTGGTGGAGGCAGACACGTCTGTGAGGAAGTGGGTCAGGTGCCCTCTAAGGAGCCTTGCAGCCTTCCTGGGGGACCCACTTTTGGGGGGCTGAAGTCACTGTCAGTCACCCTGCACCTGCTGTGTTTCCCCACAGCTCCTCACTGGGGGTGGAAGGTGCTGTGGGCATCAGGACTGATGAGGGGGAAGGCCAGAGAGCATGGGGCTTGCTGCCACAGGACACACCTGGCAGGCTTCACCCCCACCAAGAAAACCCCCAGAAAATGCTGCATCGACCCCTCAGAGCAGAGGCACACAGGTCCCTGGAAGGGGATAGATCAGAGCCTTGTGTCTGCTTCTCCAAGAGTTACTGCCCCTATTGTTCTTTGTCATGCTGCTGGTTTCTGAGAATGACAAAGGTAGGAAGAATCGTCCTGGAAGGACAGTGGTCCTCCCCGGGAGAGCCAGTTCAGGGAAGGCTCTCGCTGTATCCTGTGTGTTGGTGTGGGTGCTGAACCATGGATGTTCTCTGGAGAAAAACTAATTGCATTGTCAAATGTTTACATTCATGCCAACTCCAGCTGAAACAGTCATAGAAATGTTGAGCTGCAGGAATGGTCAAGGGGGCACTGGACTCGAGACCTTTATGGCCATGTGATCTTTGATAAGCCACATAACCTCTGGCCTTGGTCTCCTTATCTGTAAAATGGGAATGGCAGCAGCAAGAGAATTGTAGTCTAGGTTAAAATGAGGTGACATACATGAAAGAGCTTAGCACAGTGCTTGGGACCACTAGATGGCTGGGAAACATTAATTGACTGTGTATCCAGTGTAAATCTTTTCTGATCCTGATAAAGAAACCGAGTCCAAAGAATTTTATTGATGTAACTATCTATTGGCAGCCTAACTGCCTGATTTCTTACCTACTTCCCTCTAAGACATTTCATGTAGGGGATCCATTGGTATCTTCGTTTCTCCTCAAAGTACCCTGTATGAATGCAGCCCAGCCCTTCAAAGGTCAAATAGGCCACAACACCACAACTCCACGTCCTTGTATTCGATGGCTCACCCAATGAGTGACCGAATTGGAGGACCAAGTCCAGTTGTTTGAGAGTCTCCTGCCTTTGCTGTCTCAGCAGATTCTGCACCTAACTGACGCCCGCTGCCCTGTCTTGAGTATATAACACATCATGGGTGTGAGCGTGGAAAATCCATTTGTGCTTGCTCTTCCTGTCTCCAAGACTTAGGAAGAAACGATGGTTAGGCTAAGAACCCTTGATTGTCGGAAATAAACAATGAAAACATTAAGGCAGCCAGTCAGTAGCAACTTTATTAATACAATGCTAAATGAGGAAGCTGACTGCCAGACAAAGAAACCACTGAAACTGGTAACAGAAACGTGCTCATATAGTTAAAATGTGCACCATCATCCTTTCATTGATATTTTCCCCAAATTCGCCAAATTGCCCTTGACTCCTTGCACATCATCTACATCTAGAAAGCCATTAAACCGTTAACTCTTTGCACACATCAGGTGTCCATAAATGGGCTTTAGGAGGCCCATTACAGGCAAAATTTTATTTCTGTAGGAACGTGTGCCTCTGAGAAGAGGTCCACAGTTTTCATCAGATTGTTCTAGGCATTGACTAGAAATCAGGGTAAGGTTTTTACTTGTTTCTAAAATACTGGTTCCCAGTATGTTCTTTAATAAAAAAATTTCAAACACACGGAAAAGTTGAAGGTAATTGTACTGTGAACACCCATATAACTTAACTACCACTTAGTTTCTATAATTGATAACATTTTGCTTTATTTGCTTTTTCATGTATCTCTCTACCCATCCATCAATCCATCTTATTTTGTTTTTAATTAATTAATTAATTAATCTATCTATTCTTGGCTGCATTGGGTCTTCGTTGCTACGCACTGGCTTTCTAATTGTGGCGAGCGGGGGCTACTGATCGTTGTGGTGTGCGGGCTTCTCATCGCAGTGGCTTCTCTTGTTGTGGTGCACGGGGTCTAGAGCGCAGGCTCAGTAGTTGTGGCACACGGGCTTAGTTGCTCTGCAGCATGTGGGATCCTCCTTACTAGGGCTCGAACCCGTGTCCCCTGCATTGGCAGGGGGATTCCTAACCACTGCGCCACCAGGGAAGTCCCTCCATCTTATTTTTAACACATTGCAAAGTAAGTTTCAGTCATCACTGAATGTTCCCTCAGACGCTTCAGCAAGCAAATCATTAAAAAGGGCCAGTATTGTTCATGGTTCTTTTTTTAAAGTAAAATTGCGGCACTGAAATGCATAAATTTTAAGTGTTTCATCCATGAGTTTTTACAAATGCAAAAAATTTGTATAACTCAAACCCCTCTCAACATACAGAACATTTCCAGTACCCCAGAATGTTCCTTCATGCCCTTTCCCACTCAGTCCCTGCCCCAAAAGCCCAAGAAGCAACCACTGATGTGATTTTTTTCCACCAGAGATTAGTGTTGCCTATTCTAGAACTTCATATAAATAGAATTGTGAAGAGAGTCTTTCTGCTCTGTCTTCTTCCACTCGGCATAATGTTTGGAGATTCATCCATATTGTATGTATTAGGCAAGGTTTTGAGGGTATTAAAATGGTATCTCAGTCAGTTTACACGTGAAAGCCCAATTCTGCCTGAATGATTGCCACTCTGCCCTGTAAGAAATAAAGACAATAGAAAAACGAGAACAATGGTCATGTCATTATTTCCTCACTGCTAGTGTAGGGATGGTAAACTGGCCAGCACCACGTGCTTAGGCCTGAAACCTGGGTAGGAATCTCACTGCCTCTTTTATTTTAACCATTTTAATGAGATATAATTCACATACCATACAGTTCACCCATTTAAAGTGTACAATTCAGTGGTGTTTAATATATTCACAGCTACGTGCAATCATCACCACAGTCAATTTTTGAACATTTTTTTTTCAAAAAAATGTTATTTTTGAACATTTTCATCACGATAGAAAGGACCTCCATGGCCTTAGCTCTCATCCCTTACTCTCCTTTCCGTCCCACATTTCTCCCCAACCCTAAGCAACCACTAATCTACTTTCTGTCTCTATGTGTTTATCTATTCCAGACAT